AGAACGACTAGAGGGTGTATGCAAGAATAAGGAACGCAATTCTAAAATGAATGAGCATTTAAGGAGTCAGGGAGTGGATAGAGAAATCCATCAAAGAAACAATCAAAAGCAGCCGTGACTGCAATTTTAGGGAGTAAGTGGTCAACATGCAGATGTGACCCAGGGGACATGGGGATCGGAATTAAAACTAAGCAACTGAACTCAGCAATTAAGAACTCTTTGGTGACCTAGTAAAAGCACTTCCAGTAGAGAGGCGAGGATGTAAGTCAGATTTGCTGTGGGTTGGGAGAAAATGAGATATGAGGAAATGGATGCTATGAATATAGATTAATGTTTCAGGAAGTTTGGCTCTAAAACCTAAATCAGACCATAATAATTCACTTCTTAAAACTTGCTGATGGATTTCCATTACACTTGAAAAATGTATTCACTTACCACCATCTATTAGGCTCTAAAGCAAATGATTAGGAGTTTGCTTATCAATCTGATTTCTGGTACCACTTTTCTTCACTCTCTATGCTTCAAACTTAGCAAACTTCATTTTTTCCTTGACTGTATCAACCTTGCTCTTCTGTTAGGAGCTTTCACCTTTGTCCTTTTCTCTAGCCCATGGTGGAATAGCAATCAAATCACAGCTATCAGATCAGATGTTTCTTTGAGAATAAGTTAAAGGGAATGGGGGTGTAGCTTTGTGGCAGAGTATATGGGGCCCTGGGTTAAATCCCAGGTACACAAAGCTTCCTTAACACCTCCCAACTACCATACCTACAGAACCATTCACAGTACAGCCACATTACAGTGGGTGGGCTGTTCTGAGACAATGTTTGAGTACAGGATAAATATTAGAACTCAGCTAATCCAAATATAGGACAGTCCCTCTAAAGGGGATTTTCACCCTGGGACACCACATTGAATATTTTCCATAATTCCATTGAACTCAGCAGCTCTCCTACCTTACTGCTCTTCTGTCTGAGGTGTATTGAAAGGTATACTGTAGTTTAAAGACTCTCCTTGTACTGCATGCCACAAGTTTATTCTTTTTTTTTTTTTTTTTTTTTGGCTTTTTGGCTCACATCTGGTGATGCTCAGGGGTTACTCCTGGCTTGCTGTACTTGAGCATTACTCCGGGTGGTGCACGTGGGACTCTATGGGATGCTGGGGATCGAACCCAGGTCCACCATATACAAGGCAAATGCCCTACCCATTGTACTATTGCTCCAGCCCCACAAGTTTATCTTTTTATAGCTATCTCTAAGTGTCTTTCATCAACTAATCCTATACTGTCCTTTGGATTTCAGAAGACCAGAACTGACAAAAGTCGGTAATCATTTAATGATACATTAGGTCACTCTCTTAGAGACTCACTCAAATCTACGTTCTCAATCCCTGGTTACTTTTGCCTTTTGATCCTAGGGATAGAATCCAAGTCATCATCATACATGCAAAAATAGGAGTTTTCCCACCAAGTCACACTCCCCATTCCCTGCCTGTTATTTATCTCATGTTTTCTGCTGTATTTTCTTCATATTGTTGTCATCTTTGGGGAGGGGGGCCTTTCTTGGAGGGAACACACATAGAACTTGCTCAAGCCCTTTGAACTGCATCCTCAGCCTCGTGAGTTTTCATTTTTAACTGTATTGCATGGTGAGTAACCAAGTGAAAATGGACTCTTTTGAGGATTTTACTCTAAATATTTGTTTGCAGGTCAGAGATAGTACAGTGGTAGGGTGCCTGCCTTGCACGTGGCTGACCTAGATTTAATTCTGAGCACCTCGTATGGCTCTCCCCGCCCCATGCCAACTAGGACAGATTCTTAAAAGCAGAGCCAGGAGTAAGCCCTAAGCACCACTGGGTATCAACCCTCCTTTTTTTTTTCAGTTCATATCTCTAAAAGTGTACATATGTATATAATCAAAATTTTGTATGCCTGACAAAATGAGCAATCTGTATCATCTAATTCCTTGTTTATGTTCATATTTCCTCAATTGTCTCCATAATGGCCATTATGGTTGTTTTGTTCAAATGAGTCTCTAATACAGGATAAGGCATTTTTTTCGGGTTAAATGTATTTTATGTCCCCTTTAGTCAAGACTAGTCTTTTTATCCAAGCTGACCTGAATAAAAAAATGGCCAATTGTCCTACATAGAATGTTTTTTCTTCTGAATTTTTTGCTTTTCATGGTTTTAAATTTTTTAAAAGTAGCTTTTATCTTTAAGTTCAATTTGAAGTAATTTAAATAAATTTAACTACTTAACATCAGCAGACACATAAACTATGGTAAACTATGGTAATACTTTAACTATAGTAATATTTTAACTAGGGTTCAATTCCTCTGGCCCTCTCAGAGAGCCCAGCAAGCTACCGAGAGTATTCTGCCCACACGGCAGAGCCTGGCAAGCTCCCCGTGACATAGTCCATGTGCCAAAAACAGTAACAACAACAAGTCAACAATGGAGATGTTACCGATGCCCACTCGAGCAAATGGATGAACAACAGGAGGGCAGCGCTACAGTGCCATGGTAATATTTTAATTGATGAGGCAAACTTTAAACTGCCTTTTGCCCCTATAATCTTTTTTTTTGCCAGAAATGGGTTTTAAATATTAGTTTTTTCTTTGCCCCTTCCATTTGTTGCGGTTGCTGCAATGATGGAGCATTAAATACACACCTGGCTTGTGTTTATGTGATTGCTCCCACATTTCTAGTGTTCATGTGATTCTCGCCCACATGCCTGCCATCTCCACCTCCAACAATGACCCAATATCAAAGTGGGTATTTGGCAGATTCAAATAATTCACTGAAGCTGAGCGAAATTGTGGTGCTCGTAGATCTGGCGGTGGTGCTTGCTTGGAGTACACTCATCAGCAGTACTTGCACACATACTTGTAAGACACGAACACTTACTCCTTTATTTCTGGTGCTTGCGGTGAGCTGGTGAGATGCTCATACATGTACTAGGTAAGGCGGCACACTCTGATCACAGAGTTCAGGCATCACATAACTGTGGTGCTCACTGGGGCTCACCACATTTAGCTGTGATGTTCGACATACAGGGCTGTGGTCAGAAACTGCCTGGGGTGCTAGAGGTCACAGACAGCAGAGCTGCCAGCCACAAATGTGCCACTGGGGATCAAGCTTGCAGCTTCATGATTATGAGGCAGGGGGTTCTAAGTCATGAGCTCTCCCATCCCCTCTTGTTTATGTTCTTAATTTCTCTGAATTTGTCGGCTGCATTCTTCATTCGTAAAGTCATCAAACAAATGCCTGGCATACTGTAATTCTTTCAATTTAATAATATCTTCTCTAGCTTTATCTTTACAATTTTTTGAACTGGAATCATCTTATAATGTGTAACTGCAATTTTACTTGCCTTTTAGAGTCAAAGACAGCTATAAAGGTATCTTTAAAATTTGAAGTCTTCTACTTTTATGATCTGAAATGTACCTTTTAGGTATTACTTCTTCGTTTTATTGCAAATTATCTCTATTTGTCCAAATTTGGTTTATCCTTTATTCCTAATATTTATCCCATCTCCTTAAAAAAAAGGCTTTCCTCTACTCTACATTTTTCTTTCCTATCTTTAAACCTACATATAAATGTATAAACCTACATATATATGTATACAAACTAACACACACATCACATATATGTAGGCTTTTACATGAGTACTGAGACATATATCTGATACATATATATATATTATATGCCACTTGCTCAGTCAGAATCACATGGGCAGAGTCTAAGGGGGTGGAGGATGCAGATTCACATCTACTGGAATCAAATCGGAGAAAGGGGCATTCAAACCTGCATTTTAAACAAACTACCCATGTACAGCCTGGCAAGCTACCGAGAATATCTCGCCCGCATGACAAAGCCTGGCAGGCTACCCCTGCTGTATTCAATATGCCAACCACAGTAACAAGTCTCACAATGTTACTGGGCCCGCTTCAGCAAACTGATGAACAACGGGAGGACAGTGACAGTGACCCATGTACATAGGATTTGCAAATTTTTAGGGCATGGCAGAAAATTATTTTGCAGAATTTCCCTTTTCCCCAGTCCCATCCGGTGGTCTCAGCTTTTCTATTCTTTTTATAAGCTGTGCAGTTTCGGTCCCTGTGAGTTTTCAATTCCATTCTAAGCAGCACAATGAAGGAATGCATCAGATATTGCGTTAGGCACTAGGAAGTGTTAAATGAAAGATATAATCCAGACCTTCAAGTAATGCAGGTGCTGGGAAAGAGAAATGAAAAGGCAAATATTAAATGTTCACACGCCTGAAGTGAGCTTCAAGAGGTTTAATTTGGTAAAGACAACACCCTAAGTATAAGCAGTTTACGATATTGCAAACGAAGAACTTAAGGGTACAGATCCATTCAGGAAGGATGAAGGTGGGGGTGGGGACGCGAAGGGCGATTTGGGCACCAACTTTACCGTAAATAGCCCAATAAAGCAGCCCACTGATAATTCGAACCTCTTCTACAGCACGGTCTCAAAAATCGCTTGGACAGTTTGTGAGGGAAATAAAAGCGCCTTTCTAAGGGGTTTCCAAATATGCGTTTTAATATCCGTGTATTTAGGTCCTTCCAGGTTTTAGAACACAGGAGGGCGAAACTTTCAGAGCCTCCGTATCCAGTTTTTGCCTGCACCGCGCCTATCTACAGCTGACGGCGTGGTCTTTCCTCGGCCGTGCCCACCAAGCCATTTAATTCTCGGCCCATCGGCCGCAGTCTTCAGCCTGGAGGAGAGAGTCACCCGCCAACAGAAACGACACCCAGGGGACTCGGACCACCGCGGTGCAAAGGGCGCGGGAAGCAGCCAACGGAGCGGCCAGCGGGGTGGGCGGAGAGGCCCTTACGGAGGTCCTTTTGATGGACGCGAGACACGGCCAATCAGCGCGGAGCTCACTGACGCCGGCGCCCCGGTGGGCAGGACCTCGGCAAGATCGACCAATCGCGCTCCGACGCTGTCCGCCGCGTGGGCGGAGCTGGCGGCCGGCCGGCGCCGTCGTTGGTGTTGTCCGCTGGCGGTTAGTGAGTGGAAAGGCGTTGCCGCCTTGGCAGGGCTTAAAGTCGTTCTCGAGAAGAACGTCTTTGTCCGGAGAGAAAATGAGCTTAGCTCTGAGGTCGGTAACGAGCTAGCGGCAGCGCCGTCCACAGCCCCCAGTGGGACGCAGGGCGGGCGTTGCGTGGAAGGGGTGCAGCCGGGCCCGAGAGGAGGAAGGAGATGCAGTGCGGGGCCAGGGAAGGGAGCTTGACCCACCCTGCGGGCTGGCTTCGGGGTCCTCACCTCGGCCGCCCTGCTCGGCCTGCGGCGAGCCCCTGCCTCTCGGCTGCAGCGGCCGGGGCTTTGGGGTTTGCACCGCCGAACCGGAGGGCTCGTTTAATTGCGTGCGAGGGGCGTGAAATATCGCGAGGTTTCCGGTCCCGCTGTGTCCCGGGGGAAGCAGCGCCAGGAACTGCATCCGTTGGTGCAGGTCCTACTGGTCGACCAGCCCCTCTCAGGCCAGCAGCGGCTCAGGAGCACGCAGATTAGGAAATGACACTGAATCCTCTCCTGTCTCCTGAGCCCCTGGTTGACGGTATAACTGGAGGCCCATTTTAGTGATTAAAGATTTATGGATGTTGCTTTCAAAGCCTGTGCTTGTTGCTAGTGTTGCAGTCCCCAAGTTTGAAAAGTTGGAGCAGTTTCAGGTCTGCTAATTTTTTTTTTTCATTTTTTTCTTTTTTTCCAGTTTGTGAGAAGCAAATTGAAAGGAGGTTTACAAAACCGTTATTAACGTTGTGCATTGGGACAGTGAGCACAAAGGTGTACCTTTGGGGCGTTTCATATTTGTTCTATTTCGACTCACTATTTTGTTGGTGTGACGGGAAGAAACCGAAGTGTTACACTGTTAGAAAATGAAATAAAAAAATTTAAAACCAGTGCTCACGTACAAATTTGATGCCATACAGTGTTTTTTTTTTTTTTGAAAATAATTTGGATAATAAAGCACCCGCAAAGATAAGCTAGTGATTGTCAAAGCGTAAGTTTTGCTTTTGTTTGGAGTTTTCAAACCCGTATTGTATAATGAAGGTAACAGAACAGGTACTCATTGGGATTGCTGACAAAAATGTTTCTTCTGGTTCTTGTTTCCTTACAGTAATAGCGGGAATAACTCCAAAGCTGGAGGAAGAAATGCCATTATCATTCTGAATTACCTATAATGCTCTTCAGTTTAGGGAAAGGAAGAATTTTAGCACTTTTAGACTATGGAAAGACCAGTGCTCCGTGTAATGTAGGGAGATTTTGTTTTCCCAAATGCTGTTGTCGAAATGTGAAACTTACGACCTAAAAATTTTTTTTTTAAATTGCATTTTTGGAGTCAGTCCGTTTAGAGACATTGATGAAATATACTGACATATGTGATTAAGTAGATCTTTTAAATTTTTGTCTTATAGAAATGAACTTGTAGTAGACAAAACAAAGAGGAAAAAACGAAGAGAACTCTCTGAAGAACAAAAGCAAGAAATTAAAGATGCTTTTGAATTATTTGATACTGACAAAGATGCAGCAATAGATTATCATGAATTAAAGGTAAATAGTATACATCTTCGTGGTGGGGAGTAAGGGTACACCCTGCAGTGCTCAAGGTCCCCCTTCTTTGTAGCCATCAGAATTCCCACATGTAGGGCATGAGCTGCTGCTCATTGCGGTATCTTTCCAGCCCCTGTAATAGTATACTTTATTACTATTATTATTTTGTTTTGTTCTGGGGGTCTTACCTGGTGATGCTCAGGGTTTTCTGGCTCTGTGCTCACAGATAACTCCAGCCAGGTCAAGGCACCATAGCCATGACTAGAATCAAACCTGCATGCAAGGCAAGCGCCCTACCCATTGTACTATCTCACCAGTCCTTATAATAGCATACTTTAAAATAAATTTTCTTTTAACATGATTTGCATTTTTTGTTAAATATTTTTCATTGGTTTTTGGGACTATGTAATTGCTTTAAACATTTACAGTTCAGTGTTATAATAAAATTTAACAGGACTCCTAAAACATTTTCTTAGAAAATCTAATTCATAAAAGATAAACAGTATTTGCTGTTGCTGTTATTTTGGGGGCCACACCTGGTGATGCTTAGGGGTTACTTCTGACACTGCACTGAGGACATTGAGGAATTACTTATGGAGGTATTCGAGGGAACATATGGGATGCCAGGGATTAGACCCTGGTCAGCCATAAGCAAAACAATCGCCCTGCTCTTGTTGTATCTCTCCATTCCCTAAGCTGAACAATTCCTAAGGTGAGGTTTAGATTTTTTTCCACATAATTAAGATGTATTAAGCTAGTGGATTTAGACAATTCTTCCTTATGTTTTCACTGTTTTTACTTTTTTGTTGCTCTGATTGGGGAAGAATTGTCTTATAAACATGTTAGTAGCAGCGTCAGCCTGCTTTCTCTAGTACAGTGTACATGATATCTGATGTCAACACAATATTAATGGGGAAAATCAGAATTAGGGCTTAAAATTTCTTATAAAGATACAGGAAAAATTGGTGTTAACGGTAGTAGGGCTGTTACATGCAACACTGTAAGTAACTCTTTCCTTCTTTCCCACTGTTGTTTTGTTCGTTCTTTGGTGTTTGAACTATATGCCTGAAGGGCTTGGGAAACAGTGTGGGGAGCCGGGGATGAAGCAGTATATGGCTGCAATCACTACAGACCCTCCCACTATTGTTTATTTTAGTTACCCAGTTTGCTCAGTTCTTACTGGTACGTGTTGCTATTGCTGTGACTAGTGTGCAGTCCTGTTTCATACACAGACCTCTTATTTTATTCATTTTCAGTTCACCCGTTACACTTCCATTAGGTTCCTCTTTCTAGAAGTCCATAGTGGACAGGAGAGATAGGACAGTGGGTAAGCCACTTGTCTTCCAGGCAGCCTGCCTTCGTTCAATATCTGGAATTGCATCTGATCCCCTGAGCACTGCCACAGGTGAATCTGAGCACAGAGCCAGGAGTTAGCCCTGATAACCAAAGGTGTAGATCCTAAACCAAAAATAAATAAAAGTTTTTCCCACCGTATTGTTCATTTCTCAAACTTTAGTGACTCCACTGTATATGATTAAAGTGCAGATTCTTCTGATTTTCTTAGAGAACTACTAGTAGTGCTCGGTGGACTGTATATTTGGTCATCAGGCACATCATTTAGGAATTTGGCCCAGCTGCACTGGGGACCAGCAGGGCTCCTATGAGCAGTGCTCTGGGAACCATGCAAATTCTAGGCCCCTTGCATACAAGGCATGTGGGGTTGTCTTCCTAGCTCAGAGTACTTTTTATTTTAATTGAACACTATTTGGCCACTGCATACTTTTCTCATGTGCAAACTGCTTTTTCCTGTCTATACTCTTCCCATTCAGATGAGGTCAGGTACTCTTTTAACTGACCTCAGCCTAGTTTTGATTTCTGTGACTGCTTAGAAACTAGCTTTCCTTTTCCTAAATACTTTTTACTTCTCTTCATCCATATAAAAAGAACATCTCTTCTTCTCTCTCTCTTTTTTTTATGCTTTTTTGGGTCACACCCAGCGATGCAAAGGAGTTACTCCTGGCTTTGTGCTCAGAAATTACTCCTGATGGTGCTTGGGGGACCATATGGGATGCTGGGAGTCAAACCCAGGTTGGTCGTGTGCAAGGCAAACTCCCTACCCACTGTGCTATCCCTTTAGCCCCCATCTCTTCTCTTTTTAAAGTAGGACTTTAACCAGTAACTTTTCAAGATTTTTAAACTCAGCCCTGGAATAGTTGGTGTAGGATCTGATCTGTTAATAATTATTATAAATGTTATTTTTATATTTATATCGCAGATGTTTTACCGCTTTATACAACCCTTTGATAACAAATAACTTGTTAAAATTATCTTTCCACTAAGCCAGTGCATTGTATATCTAATCTAATATTTACTGATTGCTTTATCATATTTAAAAAAGGAACATAGAAGTGTAAAGGTTGCTATTTAATTTCAACAGTGAAGAAAAACTATTGCATATTTAAACTCATAAATATGTAAGACAATTATGTTTTCTTAATATGTTGTCATCGCTTAAATTATAAAAACTTATTTAAGAATTGGAAATTACTTCTTTTATAAAGTTCCTTATAATTTGCTTTTCCATTTTAATCCAAAAGGTGGCAATGAGAGCCTTGGGGTTTGATGTGAAAAAGGCTGATGTTCTGAAGATTCTTAAAGACTATGACAGAGAATCCACAGGGAAAATCACCTTTGAAGATTTTAATGAAGTTGGTGTGTATCTTAATAGTCTCTGTTATCATCAATTGTCAGGGGAGTATGTGATTAATATCAGTATTTCTTAAATTCTCTGGGTTATAGAATTTTGTTTATTGAGCTTTTTATGTAGTATGGATCTCTCACTTTACATTTTTGGGATATTTTTCCTGAATTTCAAAGAAAAATAATATTTATCTCTTTCCTGTGGGATTTATTTATCTACATTCTGAATATGAACAAGGGGACTGTTGTATAGCTTCTCACGGAAAGGTATTATTCTAAGGAATGTGTACCTTTTATTCTGTGGTAATAAACTAAATATCTGTTCAAAAATTTCTGAGTGAAACAAAATTTGGCATATATTTGTTTGGAAAATATTTCCCAAGACTGTTCTGGTATGTGATTTTTGTTGGCAAAATGGGAGTGAGGGAAGCTGGTGGCAGTTGGTATCTTTGGCTGGGGATGAAGTGCATGTCTTCAGGTTGACAAAGCTTAGGAGCTACGTACTCTGGATGACCTAGATCTCTGTGAATAAAAGAAACTGTTTAGAGTTGTTGGTGAGAGGAAATAGTACTGAGTGAGGCAGTTGGCAGATTGGAAGCAAGAGAAAACATTTTAGAAAGACCAGTGGAAGATAATGTGTCATGAGCGTAATGTGGTTGACCTTTTGTATAGTTGATTTTTTGTGAATTATTTATAGCATATAAATAAGGTTTGTTAAAGGATTCTGGAAGGCAAGGACTTGCTTTTATTACCTAAATATGTTGCTTAGTGCTGTACTTTTGAACTTTTTACAACTGTGGTGGTACAGCATCTATCTAAGGGCTGACAGTTAAAACTACTGACCTAGAGCATGATAAATGAAATGTGTGTTTTATATATATATATATATATACATATATATATAATGTATAATTCATGTATCAGGTACATAATCTGAAAAAATACATATATTTGTTTTTATTTTCTATATCATGGTAGCACTTGAAAAGAGTCACAACAAAACATATCAGTTATTTTTACATTTCTTTACAATTTTGTAACAAATTGACTAGCATACACATTCATATAAGTCCTTTATTTCAAATATCCAAAGAGAAGCGAAAGGAAGCAAAAGTAAATGGCATTTAGGATGTATGAAAGAAGTGGGTTGATAATATTAGTAATTTTTTTGGGGGGGTTAGTAACTTAGGGGTGACCTTACCTGTGCAAACATCATGAGCTTTCCTACCACTAAGCCATATACCTAACCCTAATAATTTGTATTATTTATTTATTTATTTTTGTGTTACATCCGATGATGCTCAGGGGTTACTCCTGGCTCTGCACTCAGGAATTACTCCTGGCAGCACTCGGGGGACCATATGGGATGCTGGGAATCGAACCCAGGTCGACTGCGTGCAAGGCAAACGCCCTACCCGCTGTGCTATTGCTCCAGTCCCTGTAATTTTTATTTTTAAGTCTGGAAAAAAAAAAAGCAAAAACTGGGAGAAGAAAAATTAAAGATAAACCTGAAGGAGAAAGAAGCCATAGCAAGCCATAGCTAAATTATCCTATAGCTGGTTACAGTTGCAAGAGGCAGCTCGTTCCTTTAGGAATCTTAATTTTTTCTTTTAATTTGTATCATGATTTTCTTGAGCAGGAGCAAGCCGTTTTTAGTCACCCAATATTTTTGATGTGAATAAACTCCTGAAAAATTGGTGTTTTCTGGGGGGTTATGGTCTTAGTTCAAGTTTCAACATAGATTATGTATTAAAAACAAGGTATGATGATATAATGAAAACACTACTATTGAAAAGGTTCATGTGGTAGTGAAGCTATTTAGCTTGGACCCCTGAGAGACCAGGTAAACTGAGTTCAGATCTGCCTTTGACCAGTTACTAGCTTTTCAGTTTTCTATGCCTCCTTTTCAACTATTAAATGGGGATATGTGTACTACCTTAGTAGGACTCGTGGAAGGATTAAGTAACAGGAATAAGTTAAGGTTCTAGCATATGGCAAGTGCCTTTAGGTAGTTGTTACTTTAAAGTGAAATTCTTGTTTTTGTTTCAGTGGCTCAAGAAAATGTATACAACACTGGAATACAATATTATTGTATTCTACATGTTTATAGTTTTCTAATGACCTTGATTTTTTTAAAGCACTTTAAGAAATTTATTTAAAAACCCGTTTCATCGTTTTAACTGATAATACTCTGAAACACTTTATCATGTGAAAGGTTTTTGAGTTGCGATTTAGTAAAATCTAGAAAGATTTCAAGCTAGAGCCCGATGCTATCTCTACCTGTTTTTGCCTCCTTATGCCATCTTTTCTGTGCTATTACCAGAACAGAAATACTCGGTTGTTTTTTTAGTAAATGGTCATAGCTAAACTCCAATTCTGACTCTTATAGATCACCCTTTTTTGATAAGCTTAGTATATACTTTATTGTAAAGCGACTTGTTGAGAACACTCGCTATCAATCAATCAATCATTATGGTTTTAAATCACTTAAAAACTGTGTTTTATTGTTTCTTAATTTTTATTTTAAAAATCTGACAACAGATGAATATATATTTCATACTTTGAGAGAGGTAACTTCAAATCAGACCACTTGTGTCTAGTTTCACGTATTACCTAGTAAGGATACTGTTACTCTTTTTTTTTTTTTTTTTTTTTTTTTGCTTTTTGGGTCACACCCGGCGATGCTCAGGGGTTACTCCTGGCCTATGCACTCAGGATTTGCTCCTGGCGGTGCTCAGGGGACCATATGGGGTGCTGGGAATTGAACCTGTTACGGTCATGTTGACTGCGTGCAAGGCAATCGCCCTACCCGCTGTGCTATTGCTCCAACCCCAGGATACTGTTACTCTTAACAGATATTTCTGGATGAAGTATGACAATTGAAATCTTCCTTAATGTTAGAAAACTAATAAAATATATTTAATATAAATTTATAATTTAGATAGCAGAAGCTAGTGAGTAGTATAGGTGTTTAAAATGGCTGTTTTAAAGTTAAACCCAGATAAATCAGATGCCCATACTTCATTTATTTTGGAATACGTGATTTATTGCTTATTTAATACACTGTGGGTTTTCTTTTTTTAATTTTGCTTGGCAAATATTTGACTCATTATTATTCTTGCCTTTAGGAACTGTACTGGGATGAGGGAGGAGAATTAAATGTTACTAAGAATGAAACTCTTTTGTGGAGTTTACCATTTAAATGGTGATAACAGTAGCTCTGATACTTTGTGCTAATAGGTCAGGGGTTAGCAAAAGTTTTTTGTTTTGTTTTTTTTTTTTTGGCTTTTTGGGTCACACCCAGTGATGCTCAGGGGTTACTCCTGACTCATGCACTAAGGAATTACTCTTGGTGGTGCTCAGAGAACCATCTGGGATGCTGGGAATCGAACCCGGGTTGGCCGTGTGCAAGGCAAATGCCCTACCCACTGTGCTATTTCTCCAGCCCCAGAAAAGTTTTATCTCTGGCCACATTCATGGTTTTTAATACTGCTTTTGTATTATCAAGATAGAGTATTCAGACAAAGTCTTTGTGTTCATCTTATCCCTTGTAAAGTCCACTAAATATTATTCATTTGACCTTTAAGAAACGTTATTTTCTAAGCTGGAGTAATTAAAAGCTTTTGGGAAGTAACTGGGATTTCACCCCAAGAAGATGGTCTTTGGGAAGGACTAGAGAAAACGGCAACAAAGTTTGTTTCCAGAATTTTTAGCATGTTTGGCAAACTTCTGGGTAGTCCCTTGTGCTGAGAATTGAAAAATGACTGGCCAGGTAAGATTGGGTCAGCCAGGAAAAATCTTGCATAACATTTTGAGTATGGATTTTAGGCAGCAGAGTCACTCCTTAAAGAAGAATGATGTGTTTCAGAAGGAAACATCATGAAGGCAGTAAAGATGGGTTGAAGGGAAGTGAGCCTGCGGGCGGAAGATAATGGACTTTATGCAGAGAACAGAAGGATGAGAAGAAAAGGGAGACAGTAAACGGAGTGAAACAATATCCAGCTTTAATCATTGATGAAATTGGTTGGACTGATAATGCTCACACTTTCCAAAGGGGACACTAGCGGACACTAGCTCTTAATGATGCTGTTGTGTTTTGTGGGACAGGGCGTCACATCTATGGTGAGAGTGGGAGGAGTTTGGGTTCCAAATTGTTGAGTTACAGGTACTTCTGAAAAGAAGTAAGTGATATAGTTGAAGCTATGTTTCTAGCATTGCTTTGATGATTTCTTGTAGAGGTTTTAGATTTTGTTTGTATTTGAGCTGTACATGGTGGTGCGCAGGGCTTTGTTTGGGATCTGTGCTCAGCTCACTTCTGGCATTGTGGGACCATATGCAGTGCTGGGGAATCCAGCTGGGTCAGCTGCTTGTAAGGCAAGTGTCTTAGCCCACCCTGTACTGTCTCTCCTGTTGTGTTTTCTATTTTGGTGGGGAGGGAGGCAACACCAGGTTGTGCTCCTGACTCCTGGCTCTGTGCTCAGGGATCATTCCTGGCAGGGATTGCGGGACATACGGAATGACAGGGATTGAACCCGGGTTGGCCACGTGCAAGGCAAACACCGTACCCTACCCACTGTACTATCGCTGTACTGTTGCACTGTACTATTGCTCCAGCATCTCCATCCAGCTTTTGATAACAATTTCATGTGCTGTTCCTTAATTTGCTCTATTCTGAAGTGTCAGTTCTCATGAGTTTGAGGCAGTACATTATTTCGGGAGAGGTTTTTGGGCTACACCTGCCAGTGCTCAAGGGTGGCTCCTGGCTCTGTGGTCCTCCTGGTGGCACCGGGGGCGACACACAGTGCTAGTCCTGTGCAAAGCAGTGGACTTCTCTGGCCAGAGGAAGTCCATTTCTGGTAAAAATAAATCACTTGAAAATAGTTACATGGGCAGATACTTTTGAAATAGACCAAATCCTTCTTAAACTGCATGTGTGTGGGTTGCATTATTTTCACTGAAGAAAAATAAGTTTCTTATAGTTAAATTCTGCTTTGTAGATCAGGAATAGAACATGAAGGCATGGCGGACAGTCACCATAAAGTTATAGACTAGTAATGTTTTAGCTGTACAGCATGATGTGTTTTTATAGTTCCTAAGAAAGGCTGCATTCTAAGGCAAAGTATTGATAAAGGATTAGACAGAGAAGTCTGAAGTAGCTAACACAATTAAAGCACCAGTGGAATAAGAATTTATACATCTTGGAGCCCCATCTGTTCCCCAGATCACCCTGTTGCTTCTTTAAGTACATTAATACTTTCAGCAAGCTGCTTTTTTGGTTCACCTGTCATGTAAATTATTTAATTGGTGAAGAAAATTTCTTAACACTTTTTTTTTCCTTGTCCTGCTTTTTTTTGTTGGGACTAAATTCAAAATTAGTTGAGTTTGAGCCATAGAGTTAAGTGCAGTATTTTATTTTGGTATTATGGCTGTATATATGCCAACTCCTTTTTAGCTGAATATTTATGAGCCTTGATGATTTGCATACTTATAGTAATATACTTTAATTAGTTTCTTGGGAATCTTGGATAAAATTTAATGAATAAAATAAAATTATTGAATATATATGTAGGTGATTTAGGGTTAGCTTGAGTCCGTGCTTATTTTAAAGTTTATTCAACCAAATATGAAACAGCAGCAAAATAACAATAATTTGTTTTGGGACTTGAGTTTTCTTTTATTTTTGGGTGTGTGAAACATTCTAGTACTTTCCACTCATTTTTTGCAGTATATTTATCAGTATATTAATATTTTTGTTTGGGGAGGCTTCTTCGAAGGACTCATATTCAGGGATTCAGTCACACAAAGCTTAAATTCTACTACTACATTTCTGAACTCAGTGGTTTTTAATGATTTTGTAAACCTCAATAGGACTTAGTTATTTTTAATGACATAGTTAAAGTTACAAATTCTAGCATGCATAATTACTTCAATGATACTTACTTAGCTCTTTCCAGAATTTATCATGTAACTTAGACAAATTGTACCACAGATTTTTACTTTGATTTTTATTATTATAGCTATTAGAGACTATCTGTTTTAAATATTATTTGCTTAATTACTACATTATTGTATTTTGTGTATTAAAATGTACTATTACTATTGAGATAGGAAATTCTAATTTTATTTGCCTGAGAGGTAGAGTACTGGACAAAGATATTCTTTGTTGGTTATGGCCTCTTGATATTTGGGAGAGTGTTGGACTGTGTTCTCAGGATTTAGTCCTGGCTCTGCTCGCTCAGGGATTATGCCTGGTGATGCAGTAATGGGTAGAACTGGAGTTGGCAGTGTGCAAGACAAATGCCTTAAGCCTGATACTACCTCTCTGCACCTCTCCCAGCATTTACGACATTCTTAACTGTAGTCAGGTTTAATCCTTTTTAGTAGGTACTTTCTATATTTTTGGAAAATTAATAGGTACCTTAAGTTAGGAAGATGTTTATGGAATTTTCATCTACTGCCTGAGACTATATCTGTATCAGTTATGGCTGTGCAGTTTTGTCAGAGCTTTGTTTTAAAAAAGTTGGGCTAAATTTGAGGAATAGTCATTGCTAGCATCAAATTTAGCCAGTAAACAGAGCTTATCCTGTTAACTTTGATTGTTTGGTTAGTGCATCATCTCTGCAGCTGCATTACAAATGCCTAGACTTGTGTGCTTAATGTTAATGAAACCTACCATAGTTCCTTATTTTTGTGAATGTTAAGATAGCACTGTAGCACTGCCCTCCTGTTGTTCATCGATTTGCTCGAGCGGGCCCAGTAATGTCTCCATTGTGAGACTTGTTATTACTGTGTTTGGCATATCGAATACATCACGGGTAGCTTGCCAGGCTTTGCTGTGCGGGTGAGATACTCTCGGTAGCTTGCTGGGCTCTCCGAGATGTTAAAATAATTTTATATAAATATAAACCTTTCTATTTTTCCTCTGAAATTTATTTTATGCTTTTAATAGTTTAAATTGTTGGCATTGAGTGGCAGTCACGTTCAGTCTATAGTCTACTTTCAGCATATAATAAACCTATATATATATATTTTATTTTTATTAGTGAAACACCATGAGGTACAGTTGTAGACTTACAAATTTTTGTGCTTAGGTTTCAGTTATACAGTGATCGAATACCCATCCCTCCACCAGTGCCCATTCCCCACCTCCAATGCTCCCAGCATCCCTCCCACCCCCCACAACCCCATCCCACCCCACCCCTGTGGCAGGGCATTCCCTTTTGTTCTCTCTCTCCTTTTGGGTCCTGTGGTTTGCAAAAGAGGTATTGAGTGGCAATCATGTTCGGTTTATAGTCTACTTTTAGCATGCATCTCCTATCCTGGGAGGATCCTCCCAACACCTTTTATTTGGTGCTCCCTTCTTTATCCGACTGTCCGAGCTGCCTTTTCCCCTAGCATGTGCGGCTGGCCTCCAGGCCATGGAGTAAACCTCCTGGTACTTATCTCGGCTATTCTTGGGTGTTATATATTTTAGCTATGTGTGTGTGTGTGTGTGTGTGTGTGTGTGTGTGTACACACACAGAGCTAAAATTTAAAATATAGGCTGGCTTTTTCTAACTTCAGATTTCTCATTTAATGTTTTATTGTAAAATGACATGCTGACAGATTTGATTTTATATATTTAATTTTCATCAAATGGTTAATGTCACAATAATTGCTTTTGTGGTTATACAGATTCATTAAAAAATTAAAAAAAATTTTTTTGACTATAGTGACAGACTGGATATTAGATAGAGATCCTCATGAAGAAATACTGAAGGCATTTAAACTATTTGATGATGATGATTCTGGTAAAATAAGCTTGAGGAATTTGCGACGAGTTGCCAGAGAATTGGGTGAGAACATGAGTGATGAAGAACTTCGGGCTATGATAGAAGAATTTGATAAAGATGGTGATGGAGAAAGTAAGTTTCAAGTTACGCATGTGTATCTCAGGTATTCCTGATGCATAAATATATAGTGCTTTTTCTGTAACTAAATGATCTTTATGACCCTTTGGTCCATTTCGTTTAGTTGTTCATTTGTTATGGGCTTCTTTGCACAAATATTTTACTCCAATTTAGAACACACAAATCTTTGAAACCAGCTGCATGAATTATAAAATGAGATCCAATCTTCAAGAAGTTTACTACATTTTTTTTTTAGTATGAAATATCACCAGTCTGCCTTAACTGCATGCACTGCTAAACTAAGTTCTGTTGACCCCAGCCTTCAAATACTTTGAATATTTTTTATATATTGCTGCTGTCCTAGATCATTATAACAGCTTATTGTAATAGCTTTGGTTTATAGCTTCGGGTTATATATTAATATATATATATATTAATTCTGTTGATGTATATTGATAAAATGTCCTATGTGCTGACACTACACAAGTCAAAGCAGGTTTTGTCCTGCTCTCAGACTGTCTTCTGTAGCTGTCTCCCAGCCCTCCATGCCTACATACTCTCTTCTCTCAACAGTATTCGTGGCATTTTTCTAAAAGCAAGATTGATAATTTGGTTTCCTTGCTCAAAGCCTTTAAAGTGATTCTTCAGAGCCTATAAACTTCACAGACGTTTCCGATCTCTTCTGCATTTTCTAATCTTATTTCCCATTACATTCTTTCACTTTCCTGCTTTAGTGTTCACCTCCCATATGTGCACACTTTTATTCCCCAAACGTGTTTCATTCTGTGCCACTCATCATGGCATTCCTTAATTCTAGAATGCTCTAATTACCTATTTCTGTCTGCATTGTTAGGCCTTCTCATATTTACGAGAATATTATTTGAGTATTAGGGAACTTCTCTACATTTTAGTATTTAAAAAGGTACTGATATGCTTACTGTTAAACAAACATGTTTAAAACTTGAAGAATTTTAAATGATTTCTTAAACTGTAACCAATGCTTGGATTTAAAATCCACTCCATATATAAAGGAACTTTTGTTTTATTTGTTTTTGAGTCGCACCCACCAGTGCTCAGGACTTACTCCTGACTGCACTTAGGGATCACCCCTGGTAGGGCTGGGGGACCTTGTGGGATGCCTGGATCAAACGAGGGTCAGCCATATGCAAGGCAGATGTCCTACCCTCTCTACAATTATTCCAGCCCCAGAACTTGATTCTTCAAAGTGCCTTCTTTAGTGGTGAGAATATTGATAGAACTGTTGCTTGGATATTCTGCTGTTCATTCAAGTGACTAACTGGCAAGTTAGTTAGTCTTTTATCCCAAGTGAATGATTCAAAGAAAATACACAATGATGCATAATAAGATTGTGTGTGTGTGTGTGTGTGAGAGATGCATAATCTTAGTAGTAAGAGTGTGTGTGTGTGTGTGTGTGTGTGTGTGTGTGTGTGTGTGTGAATTCCCAATGTGAGAATGAGTTTACCAAGAATTTGTAATCTTCTTAGATACTTCATGGGGTCTGAATTTATTATTATTAATATCTCTGTAGACCTTATGATAGCATACTACATGCACATTTTACTTACATTTATGAATGCTTATACGAGTTATGAATATATTTGATTTTGGATATTCTTTCTTAAAAGACCTTTAACTAGAGCAGCTCTTGTGGCAACTTCAGAAAAATCGTATTTTTCTTTTTGAAAGACCTTTTCATATTCATAAATAACGAGACCTAGAACTCCAAACCACTTAATCTGGCTTTAGGATATTGTTTTATATATATGTCTGTAACTGTACAAAATATGTACATTTTTGAAAAAGTAAGAAGTTATATTTAATAATTTGTTAACCTGACCACTTAATTTTTGCTTATTTTGTCAGCAGTTTTAAAAATAACTGAGTCCTTATTTTAAACCAGAAATAATGTAATGCTTTATAGACTTTTGAAAAGTAGATTTTAGTAATTCTTTTGCTTTTATGAATTTTTCACACCAGCATTTTAGTATTTAATATTTTTTTCTATTGTATACAGAGGATAATAAACGTGAATATAGAGTTAAAGGAAAAGAAGATACAGTAGAGCTGGAGAGAGTACAAAGGCGTGAAGGTCTTGTCTTATAAGCAGCTAATCCTGATTCTATCTTTGGTACCATATGTGGTCTCCTGAGCACTTCCAGGCATGATTACTGAGCACAGAGCCTGGAGTGTACCCTGAGTGCTGCCCCAAAACCAGAAGGAAAAAAAAAGATGTAATGGAAAATAAAAATAAAACTATGGAACTTCATTATCCTTCTTCACAAAATATTTATAATATAAAGGTGTACAATAAAGACTTAAAATATTTGTGGAAAGGATAGAAACAATGGAAAAGCCCACATGTACTATCTTTTAGTTATGATAAGTAACAGTAATATATATTAGATTCTGTGCTTGTGTTAATTTGTGGCTTATGTGTCAATTTTGAAAGTCATTTGTGAAATACAATCTTATACATGTTTTCTTACATAGGATAGATATATATATACAGATGAGGACACTAGAGCTCTGAGATATTGTAAACTGTCCAAGGTTATCACAACTCTAACACACTGCAGAGCCCAGAGCTCAGTCCGCAACTCGGATCCCCATACTGATGAAGAGCATGCTTGCAGCCATAATGTGCTATATTGCCTCCTGTGTTGCCTCATGTGCTATAACATAAAATATTAGGTCTCTTTATGTATGGATGTTAAATTTTATGTAATATTATAGGAAGTAATATATTGGTAAAATAACTGATACTTCAGATGCTAAGATTTGTTTTGTCCCCTCCAAAGCTGGTTGTTCTCCAAATTATGTATTAGCCTGTTAATTTCTCTAAAATTCTTTATTTTAATGACATAACATTTACCCTATGAAATGATTGATGTATAAAAAACATTTTGTATCAAAAGGCAGTGTAGAATAAAATGAAGTGTACTTATAAATATTTCATCGAATGCCTATTTTAAGATCTGCATTGTGCTACATTTCTTTGATATAGGGACTTGATATATGATCCTATTTATAGAGAAGGTTATAAACTCAAATGTATCTTCACAGGTTCTTTAAACTGTCTAAAAAGCTCGTTGATATTAAAACATTGGTATTTTAAATTCCCCAGCCACTTCCCTTAGTTTTCTACTTTGCTTTTTTCTATAACTGTTCTGTTTTTAGGTATAAAATTATGGAATTGTTTTAATTACTTTTGAAATACTATCCATAAATAGCATACAGAGTATGGTTTGGGAACTATATGAAACTTCATTTGAAATTTGAGCACTGATTTGGGCCTAGTGATGCTCGGGTCATGCAGTCCTGAGGGCACCAGGGATATATACCCAGTGGTACTGCCGCAGATTGAACTTGGGATCTTTCGCTGAGAAGTCATTTACCCTTTGAACTGTTTCCCCAAATTATTTTATGCCTGGGTCTGTCTGTACTCAGGGATTATTCCTGGCAGGTTTGGGTTCCTGGGGATCAGCAAGGTCAAGTATATATGAATATGATTTAGTTGATTTTTTGGTAATTTTCATTTTATTGTTTCTCAAGTTAATACTGTAACATACAAATTTATCACATTTTATAGGTTTTTATAAATTCTATCAATAATTTTGCTTAGCTTAACAAATTAAAACCATCTTTAACTTTACGTAGAATTTTGAATAGTATAAAAATTAAAGATGCATAGTGTAAAATAGTATTGTTCTTCAAAAAACTATTAATATTCCTAACTATGTCCTCTTTTTATTATAGTAAATCAAGAGGAATTCATTGCTATTATGACTGGTGACATTTAAAGAACTACAAGGATAAACAAGAAGAATGTTGTAGTTACCATCTCAATTTCTATTTTTGTGCCTGGAGCCATGTTTAAAAAAAAAAAGCCAACTTAGTTTTCCCCCACCCCAGAAGAACCAAAAATAAGCATCTTATGTATTCATATTTTGCTACTGCTAAGTTTATTTGTATGAATAGTATTGTTAGTAGTGTAATGGTTTAGCTTTGTATTTATAATATAACTTTTATATAAAGTTTTTAAAAATGTAATCATGTGGTATACATTCTTTTAATTTTTTTCAACATAAGTAGTGACTTTTGGTGTACAAGTTTTTCAGATTTTTGTTAATAAAATGTTTATTTTAGTATTTTAAAGTTTAGTGAATTGCCTGTTATTTCGATTCCAAATATTTGTTAACTCTTTTCAACTCTTACACTGGTTTCAAAATCAGACAGAAAGCAATAGAATACTACATTTTTTCACAGTAAGTTTGGTATTCTATGTCTCAGTATAAAATGATGACTTACTATGGACACAGTTCCATTTTTAAAAGTCATATCTTTCAGAGTGGAGGGAAGATGTATGTATGGACACTTTGTCCTCATTAATTATGTTCTAGAACCTGTTGGTCCTTTAACATAAGTTATGACAGTTAAATCTTAGTATTTCCTTCTGAAACTGATAAAGTTGGAGCCATATAACTTCTTGACAATATGAAAGATTTAAATTTTGATCTGTTAAGAAAGTTATCACTCAATTAAATATAACAGTGTTAGATGGAAAACAAAGTCACACAAGAAAGTGTCGTATTTCTATTAAGGAACATTTTGTGTTTCTTACCCAGAAAGAGTAGAGATGGAATTTCCAAGTATTGGGAGTCCTCTGTCTTAGAGAAGTGAGTTAGATGTGGCTTAATCTATAGAAATCGTGATACTTTGCTTTGAAAGGGGCAATATCCTTTACCTCTTACATTTGGTGTTCATTCTGTACATATGGATTCTGGTCCCAGAAGCCATATGCTCTGGTAATAGAGCTTTCCAACCCTACCTAATAATTTTTAATAAGGAATGATGTCCAAATTTTCTCCCCCAAGCTCTTAAACGCACTATAAACAAAGCTTTTGGGCAAACACTTGCTCACTCATACATTGGTTAGCTCTTTTCATCTTTTTAGCTCTTTTCATAACTCATATACTTAATTCAGCATATGAGTTATTGAGCGTGTCATAGCAAACCCAGCATAGATAGAGAAAAGTCATCTTTTGTTTATTGTACTTAAATTGTATTTTGGGGCCACACTGGGCAGTGCGCAGGGCTTACTCCTGCCTCTGCACTCAGGGTTCACTCCTGGTGGGGCTTTGGGGACCAAATGGGGTGTTGGGGATCAAACCTGGGTTGGCTACATGCAAGGCAAGAGCCCTACCTCCTGTACTATCTCTCTCTAGCCCCACCTCTAGAAATTTAATAGTGGTCACATTTCAGTTTTCTAGAAAGCAGTTCCATTGTTTTAAATTTAAATTGAATTTTGAATATGAAATTAGTTCACAGTAACATGCAGGTCAACAAACACTGAAAAAAAAATCTCCCTGGTTGCCTTTTATGTTTTTATCATCAAATAAGGTGATTTCCATCATCAAGGTGATTTCTAGGAATGTAAAGTATAAAGATTGAAGCATAAAACACAGATAAAAAGAAATCTAGATTTGCTAATCCTCTACCACTTAATTGTAACAAACCAAACTACTTTTTTTTTTCTTTTTGGATCACACCCGGCGATGCACAGGGGTTACTCCTGGCTCTGCGCTCAAGAATTACCCCCTGGCGGTGCTCAGGGGACCATATGGGATGCTGGGAATCGAACTCAGGTCTGCCGCGTGCAAGGCAAACGCCCTACCCGCTGTGCTATTTCTCCAGCCCACGAAACTACTTTTTTTGTTGCAAAAATAGCCTTTATATTTTTATATAATACTTGGAATGCCATTAGTTTGTTTTATTACTGTGGGTTAGAGTGAAGAGTACCAAACCTGAGTTCTTTGTAGAAGCTTTGTGTTACAGAGGATATATGCTATTTCAGTGTTTCTCCCCACACACATACCCCCCCAGTTGTTAATAAGTAATTATAGACTTGAAAGACAAAATTGACAGTAGAGGTGGCAATAAGAAATGAGTAAATTTGTTTTAAAAGGATAGGGGAGTTGGGTGGAGGTGGTAATTATTTTTGTTATTGTAGTCATGTATATCAAGCAGTGGCATTTTATGATAGAAGAAAATATCTGTTACTTGTTAAATTTGACTTGTGCATTGCAAGTTCTGATGTCTTGGTAAACTTTGATAATTTGGGATTTGTCAGCCAATACTTTTTACTTTTTTTGCTTGTGTTACAAGCCAACAAAGCCTGCTTTCTAAAGAATCTAGGTACCTACCTATGAGCAGTTCTTGGGTAAGAGTCTGGTGATATTTGGGATGGGGAAGGAAAAAAAAACATTCCTCATGGACCTAATGTATGACAGATACTCTGATAGGTTTATTTAATCCCTGGTTATAGGAAATTCATCTTGCTCTATTACTGGAACACTTTCAAGTTAGTTGATGTGCTGGTTTTAATGACCTTACATAGTAAACATCGGAGACTATCCAGTTGAGTGGCTAGAGGCTAGAATTCCATAAGACAGCTGTCAGATATTAGCCTCAAGTAAATTCACGGATTTACCAGTGATGTATTTTTCAAAAATATATTTTTAAAATCATGTTTTAAAGACCAGTGTGAAAATTCCAAAAGTCACTAAAAATGTAGTGAAATTGAAATGGCATAAAGAGTTAGGCATTATGCAAAGGCAAAAGTTCATTATTTGGGGGGTGGGGGAGGCAAACCCAGTGATGCCCATGTTACTCCTGGCTATGCATTTAGGAATTATTCCTGGAGATGCTTGGGGGTGTATATGGGATGTGGGATATTGAACCCTCGTTTGCCACATACAAGGAAAGCTCCCGGCCTACCTGCTGTACTATCTCTCCAGCCCCCAAAGGCAAAAGTAGTTTTAACCCTCTTCCCTGATCCCCATTGTTATTTCTCTGAGAATAGTTTTCAGAGTTAGGCTTCAGACAGGTGGAAAAGAACAGCTAGTAATTCAGCAGTGTGATAACAGGAATCGGATAAATAGGTATCGAACCAGGAAACTTGGTATTGATAAATCCAATACCAATAAATTGATATTGCAACGTGGAGCACAAGATAATTAGAGGGGGCTGGCACACTAGAGCTGAGTGAACAGGAGGTTGGGTTATGGGAAAGTTTTAGAGGAGTGTGCGTGTAGAAGATGACACTTGGAGGCGAATGATGAGTGGTTTGGAGAACGCTGAGAAAAAGTTGATCGGAAGCAAGGGCTACCACTGCTACCAGAAAGAGCTGTTGCCCCGGGGTTGCCACAACTAACAGGAAACAGCAAACTGCTTCCCCCATCCTGCCTTCCCATCTCTTGTTTGATTAATGGTACCTAACAAAGTGTCAACTGCAAAGGAGAAATGTAGTTTACAGAGTCCCCACCTTGCCACTATATTAAAAGGTAAAGGTAAAGGCCCTCCCGTTGATCGTCGATTTGCTCGAGCGGGCCCAGTAACGTCTCCATTGGAGACTTTGTTGTTACTGTGTCTGGCACATCGAATACTCTTGGTAGCTTGCCGGGCTCTCTGAGAGGGGCGGAGGAATCGAACTCGGGTCGGCCATGTTGGCCGCTTGTAAGGTGAACGCCCTACCCGCTGTGCTATCGCTCCAGCCCATAGCACCCTGAACGCGCCCGATCTCGCCACTATATTGTTGGGCATAAAATGGTGGTGGTGGGGGGGGGAGGCTTTATAATGAAAACAACTGATCATATATTTTATCATGAGAAGGTTACTTCTAAGAGGGAAGATTCTTGAGGAATGAGGAAGGTAATATTGTGCAACTGAACAATTAGGGAAGTATAGAAAGCTATGAATGTTGATGTATTCTGCAACATAGTGCTAAAGAGAGCATGCAGGCTTCCAAAAAGAAGAGCACCAAATTACACATCTCAGGGCTGGAGCCATAGCACAGCAGGTAGGGCATTTGCTTTGCATGCAGCCGACCTGGGTTCGATTCCTCCATCCCTCTCAGAGAGCTCGGCAAGCTATCAAGAGTATCCCGTCCGTACGGCAGAGCCTGGCAAGCTCCCTGTGGTGTATTCGATATGCCAAAAACAGTAACAACAAGTCTCACAGTGGAGACATTACTGGTGCCCGCTCGAGCAAATCATGGGAGGACAGTGCTACAGTGCTACAGTACAGGTGGAGACAGGGGTGAATCCTCAGCTTGGAAAATGCTCTAGGAAACGCTTTTTTTCAAACATTTAGTAATAAGTGCTCCTGTGTTCCATGCACACATGGGTATTTACATACATTTATCGATGCATGTAGTGAATTTAAATCTTAACCAGTTTACTGGGGTAGATACTTTGCATTGTCTTTACTTTGGACACAAAAAGGAAGATCTGAGTGACTTATTCAAGATAACAGAAACTGGAATTAATCGATAGCTCTGAATTGAGAGCCCAGGAACAATGGCTCCTATAGATTACTTCAGGGTGTGTGGTTTGTATGGAGTCAAAGGGGAGGAGGAGGGAGCCAGGTTTTAGTACTGATCCGACAGTCTAAAAACAATGCTTTTGTAGTTCTAAGTGGAGGGTGCATTGACGAGAGAAGTGGCTAGGAAAAGTCATTTTGTTGTATTTTTTAAATGGTGCTAATGGTACTGGGCATTGAACCCGGGGCTTGCTAGTTGAGAAGTCTGTGCTTTCCCATTGAATTACATCCGCTTCCCAGGTAAAGGTCATTTGTTCTTTTATTTTTTAATTTGTTTTTGGCCTATACCCATTGATGCTTAGGGGTTAATCCTGACTCTGCATTAAGGAATCAATCCTGGCAGTACTTTGGGGACCATAGAGGATGTTGGGCATTAAACCTAGGTTGGCCATGTGCAGAACAAGTGCCAACCTACTGCACTTCTATTTTTAAAATAGAGGCCACATTTGCTAGTTCTGGGTGGGTGAGAGGTCATGCTGGGCTGGGAAACGCACCCAGGGCCTTGCGTAAACCAGCCTTGTGCCCTGTCACCATAGCTATCTTGATTCTCATTTTAATAGTAGAATGCTATTCAATATTTTTTTTGCAAACAGGAATTCATGGAATTAAATACAGCAGACATCTGGATGAGTGCTTAGTTGGATCTTGGAGATCTTGATTAAACAGCCCACACACATCTATTAAAGTGAATTTGTCTACATTTCCTGATTCTGAATTTATTCATCTGCCATAATTGAAAGATTCATTGGAAATTTTAAGATCCTTTAAAATTTTGTCAAGTAAAAT